AAACTGATGTAGAAGACACTGGCAGGGTCAAGTCTGAAAGGTGCCTCTACTGGAAAAAGTCATCAGAGAGGTGCCACAGGCCCCTGGGAGATACCTCATTCGTGTTCAGCAGCCCATATGATACATGTAGAAAGAAAACTTCTTACTTGGTGATCTAGAGGGACAAAGGATGGAAGAGAGAAAAGTCAAACAACAGAAGCATCGGGGTGTATGGAAGGAAAACACCAAACTAAAAAATCCCAACTGGCTTAAAAAGAATGACCCAAAGTCAGAGTTTATCAGTTTGAGATCTACTAAAAAAGCTATTTTAACATACTCTCCCCTCAACTTTCTGCTTCTGCTCCTGGAGGTGTTCGAAAATATTTTTTTTAAAAACAAGACAGAAATAAAAATAAACCGTTCTGCTCCTGGAGGTGTTCAAAAATATATTTTTAAAAAACAAGACAGAAATAAAAATAAACCATGAACAAAAATAAAACTGACCTTTTTCTGTTTCCATATAAACTTTCAAGAATATTGAGAAAGGTGCCAAACAATTTTTATGTCTCAAAAATATTTCTCCTTCCCTTTTCATGACATTATCCCTTGTTTGGCCTTTGTTTATTCATAACACAGCCACAGTTTAAATAGACAATACAAGCTATGTTGTGACATAATTTGAAATCAGATACCTTGTGTTTCTCAAATCTGATAAAGCAAAGCAGACTTCTCTTAAAGCACATTGTGGCTTGAAATGCAAGGTTGTGGTTCTGGAGTCAGACACTGTTCTTGTTATCTTTACTTTAAAGTCCCATCTCATTTTCCTAGCAGGTGCCACCATAAATGTATTTATCAACCTTCCATTCTTCAGCATTTGTTTTACTCATGAGATTCATGTCCTGCTCTCCTCAAATTAAGACCTTCTTCCATAGTACAATTTTTTAAAACTATTTCTTTTGTAAATAGTTGTTCTTCTATATCATATTCCTTCAAAGAAAGAAAGTCAGTCTTTCATAGCATCAGGTCTTCCTGGTCTCTCTGTGTATACTCTAATACATTACAAGGCCATTATGTCTAGACTGTCTTTTGCATGGCCAACTAAAGTTCTGCTGGGGTGGCTGGGGGAAACACACCCAGAGTTGGGCCTCCTCCATCTCTTTCACTGAAGAAAAATATAACTTTAACTGAAGCAAGCACTGACACTGAATATGCAAACCACAAGACTATCCTACACTGTCATGCTGCAAGAGTCTGATTATTTTATAGAAACTGGTATAAGCTCATCTGCAGAGACACACTTGAGAAGATTCAGCAGACACTAAAGAGCTGAAAAATGAAAATTCAAAATTTGGGAGAGTAAAAAAATTTAGTTCTAGGCCTCCATTTGTTTCACCTGCACAGCTCCATCTCCTTCCTGCAAATACTCCGAGTGTTTCAGTCTGTGGGTAAAAAACATTAAAAAATCTGTACTTAACATTTTCACAGAGCTTTAATGCAAGATGATGTGTTACTGTTCAGGATTAAGCGACTGCATAATAACTGGTGACAGACATTTACAGGCCTTCAGAAATTTCATGGTCAAGAAAGAATAATGTCTAGGATTAATGGCAGTTTGATCTGAATTCTGAGGATTCAAATGTTAAGGCCAAGCATTTTATGGCCTCTTTAGACAGGCAGCCTTTTTTTTTTTTTGGGGGGGGGAGGGGGCACAGTGTTCTGCAAGGGAGCATCTCACATCATATCATGTTTATCTGAAATTATCTAATCAATTTAGCAGCACAGCACATCTAACAGAATAAACGTCTTATAAGGATGCAATGTTTCTAAACTCAGTATCAGTGAACATATCATTATCCATTGCTTGAGGTCTCTAACCCTCTTTTGTTTCAAGCCTGCAGCATATGCCTGATTCAAACTGCTCCAGACAACAGCTTATTAACAGTATTTATCCCTTAATGCAACTATGAACATCACACAATACACAAGTCTTTAGAGCTAGGTACCTAAAATAAGATAAGTAGGATTAAAGCAAGCCTTCTCATGCTATAAAAGCAATTTGTTCCCCAGAATTATTTTCCAGCTTGACCTGAAAGATTAGTATAAATAGAAGAAAAGGGCAGGGGGGAAAAAAAAAAAATCAAACCACTGTTCAGAAAGTGACACTGTAAAATTATATGCCTATTTCAGGGCTGTGAAATAATTTATAAGATGATACAACATACATTATTTTCCATATGTAATAGGTTATTTTCCATATGTAATAGTTTATTCATGCCAGAGGACAGACACAGTTGTAACTAATCAGTGGAAAAGCTTAATGCAGTAGCTGCAGAGATAATTCAAACAGTAACTGCAATTTAAAAAAAAAAAAAAAAATCAGGAAAATGCTTTCTATGAAAACTACTATAGTAATTTCAATTTTTAATTGCCTTCTATGATGATCACAAGTGTCTTTACAAGGCCAGCAATTAGAAATCCCCAATGCTTAGAACCTATGAGCAAGATTTTGTGCTTTAAAGAAAAATAAATTAAAAAACCCCACAAAATTTATAAATAAAAGTAGATAAAAATTTAAACACAATGAGCCTGCCCTGAAGTGTCCACACTTAGCTAGAAGCAACATCTATTGTCAGAACTGGTCTGCATACAAACCAGAACTGGTTTGACCAAACCTATAAACTTTAAAGCCAAGCCAAAAGCTGTAAAGGCATTTCAGTGAGCTCACATAGCAACTGACAGCAATTGAAGTTATTTCATCTCTGCTAAATCATGATAATATTTGCATACTCTGAGCCCAAGGGAAGGATAAGGAATGGTAGAGTCTTTAGAGAAAGAGGCTTAAGATAAGCCAAGTTACATTGTCTTTCCCATGAACAGAGATCACACAGTGACTTACCCAACACGTGGTAACCTGCCAGCCACTGAGACTTGAAGGTTGAGTCTATCAAGAGCTGGTCAACCTCATGCATTTTTTGTTCTTTCAGTTCATAAGTAGGCTTAAGCTAAAACTCAAGATGTCAGTCAAACCAAAACAAGTGTCCACACAGGGCTTAGCTCTACTGTATTAGCTTCAAATCAGTCTTAACTTAAAGAAGAGTTACAGCTATTTCAGCTTTTAACATGATCAAAGCAAATTGTATTAAGAACTCCTCTTTGGCTGGAAAAGATGGATACATCAGGCAGCCTAAGCAAGCTCCATATCTAGTTACACCTGTGCAAATGCCTTTGGGTAAGGAGGGTCAGTACACACAATCACCTCCCCAGTTATCACTTCCTCTTCAGATTGAAACCCCTGTATCAGAATTCCTGC